AGGTGGGAGACTGGCCTTCTTCCCCCTCTTCCTCCTCCTCCTCCTCCGACGGCTCCAAGAGGATGTGGCTCCTTGCCGTGGCGACAACTTTCTGGGGATTGTGGCTGGCGCCAGGTAAGAAGAGCCAGGTAGGGGTGAGTAGGTGGACTTTCCTGGGGAAAAATAAAAAGAAAAGAAAAGAAATGTGGAGCACAGGACCCAAGGGAAAAGCTCAAAAGCCGCCCTGGGAATGTCAGTCCAGGCTTCTTAGTCCAACTCCAAATGGAGGATCTTTTGGGACTAACTCCTCCTGGAGAGACGGTGGAAATGGGAAAGGAGGCGAGGGAGGCACAGAGCAGAGCCCCTGCTTGCTCGCTTGCTTACCTGCGAAGTTGGCGCCTGGTATTCAACAGCTGCCTTGGGCAGGGAAGTTGGCCTCCAGCCGCAGCTGCCTGGCAATGAACCCTCTTCCTCCTCCTTCCCTCCTCAGGAAGGGGAAAGGGGTCCCTCGCCCAGGATGCCCTCTCTGTGTGCCTTCAAGTCATTGCCGACTTACAGCGACCCGAAGGCGGCGAACCTCTCTCTCCTGGGGTTTTCTTGGCAAGTTTTCCCCCCATTGCCTTCCTCTGAGTCTGAGAGAGTGTGACTCGCCCGAGGTCCCTTAGTGGGTTTCATGGCTGAGTTGGGAATCCAAGCCCCTTTCCCCTGGCTGCCTCTGCCTCCTCCAGCTTCCTTCGGGGACCCCTACTTGGGGGGCATACGGGGGGGGGGACCAGCCCTGGAGAAACCTCTCCTCCCCAAATAAAGCCCCCCCCCTCCTTCTTCCCTGGCTCCCATTTATTTCCAAGGGCTTCCTTCCTTCCTCGCCTCCTTTTTCTCTCTCCTTCCCTTCATGGGCAAAAGGCTGGAGGGATTCGCGGAGAAGTTCCTTTGGCGGACTGCCTTCGGAGAGCGTCCCTTGTCTGCGGAGCGCCTCCTCTTTTCTTCCCGAAGAGAGAGAAAGAGAGAAAGAAAACTGGGCTGAGGGGAGGAAAGTGGAGTCCATCTGCACTGTGGAAACAAAGCGGCGGGACACCACTTTGAACAGCCAAGGCTCCCTCCATCCTGGGATTGAGGGGTTTTGTGAGGCCCCACCGGGGTTTGAGGGTTGGACCCCGGAGACCCGACTGGGCGATGGAAACCCACTGGGTATGACCTTACGCAAGTCACACTCTCTCAGCCTCAGAGGATGGCAGTGGCCGCTTCTGAAGAAACTTCCCAGGAAAACGTCATGATAGGTTCATTGCCGGGGGGGCGGCGGCATAAGCCGAGTAGGATTTGAAGGCACACCACAAGAGACCCCCCCCCCAGTACTTTTTGGCAGGGAAGGCTGGAGGCCTTGTAGAACTACAGATCCCGGGATTGTATCGGTTGGAGCTTCGGCACTTAAAGCGGCGTCGGGCTGCATGATTTGTGCAATGTAGATGGACCTTCCAAGAGCAACCCTTGAGCAGTACCTCATCTCTCCAGGTCTTCCAATCTTTAGGAAAGGCTTGAAGACTGAAGAAGGCATGGGGGGGGGGGGGAGAAGAAGCCCCACACAGTTCCCCCTCAACCCTCCCCGATTTGGGGCTGCAGAAACCATCAGGTAGGAAGGGAGGAGGAGGAGGACGGGGGATCCCCTTGGCCCCTGGCATCTGTCTCTAGGAGGGCCCTCGTTGACATGATAAAAGACGGGGAGCCCAGGATGCTCCGCCGCCGTAATTGTGCCTGGCAAAATAGTAATTAAATCATTTGCAATTAATTAAGAGGTAAGTAAACCCTGTGGCACAGCAAAAGCGCAGCCGAGAGGAGAGCCTCCTTGTCTCCCTCCCTCCTCCTTGGTTTGCTTCTTAAAAAGAAGAAAGCCTAGCGCTTTTTCAGAAAAAGAGCTCTGAAAGAAAGAAAGAAAGAAAGAAAGAAAGAAAGAAAGAAAGAAAGAAAGAAAGAAAGAAAGAAAGAAAGAAAGAAAGAAAGAAAGAAAGAAAGAAAGAAAGAAAGAGGGCTTGGGGGGGGGCTTGCTGTGCAAAACAGATCAGTGTTGTTCATCACTGTTCGTCCTGCCCCCTGCTGGACACAGTTTAGCCTTTTCGGAATTTGGAAGCAGAAAGATCAGGGCTGACTGACCAGGGCTAGAGGGCTGCTCTTGCATAGTATAAAGAGAAGGAATAAAGGGAGTGGGAAAAACCACTCTGCCCTAAATATATATATTTGCACTTGCTTCCTAAGTAGTTCTTTTCACAGGTTGACTTAAAGCCTGAACAGACTGTCAGAAATAATCCAGCTTGAGGCCACTTTAACTACCCTGGCTCAATGCTAGGGAGTCATGGGAATTGTGTTTTTTTTCTGAGACATTGAGCTTTCTTTGTCAGAGAACTCTGGTGCCACAATAAACTACAGTTCCCATGATTTCCTAGCACTGAGCCAGGGCAGTTAAAGTGGTCTCAAGATGGATTATTTCTGGCAGTCTGTTCAGGTCCTTAATGCTTCTTCACTCAGAAGCAATTCCTCATAAATTCAATTATTTCTATATAAATATGCTCATGAGTGCATATTTGGTATCGTCTGTGGTTTGATTCCAGGGCCCACCTCTATTCCTGTGGATGCTCAAGTCCCATTATAGACAATGGCGTAGTAAAATGGTGTCCTTTATATAAAATGGTAAAAGTCAAAGATTGCTATGTGGATTTTTTTTTTAAAAAAATATTTATAAACTATCAATGGTTGAATCTGTAGTTGCAGAAACTGGATATGGAGGGTCAATTTTATTAGAAGATATCTTAACCCAAACTAAATAACTTTTCTTTCTGTTCTAGGATTTGCTTTGCAAATACAGTGTTATCAGTGTGAGGAATTTCAGTTGAATAATGACTGCTCATCCCCAGAGTTTATAGTGAATTGCACGGTGAATGTCCAAGACATGTGTCAGAAGGAAGTAATGGAGCAAAGTTCAGGTAAGGTAAATTATACCAATCTTTTCTCATTATGGACTGCCCGTGCTTGCCTTTGAATTTTTGTCCCCGTCTGTTTCAGCTCTTTAGGTAATTCAAGTATATCTTTAGAACTGCTTTAATTTGATTTGAATGTAGACTGCCTAACTTTCATTTGATTTGAATACAGACTTTCAACTGTGTTCCTTTAAAATTTCAATTAAATTGTAAATGCTGATGCTTACTTAAAAGAACTTAATAAAACTATAGTAGAACAGCACAGGAAGTTTCAGGACACTTTACCATACAGGGAAATTTATAGTGAGTTCATTTAATCTCATTACAGTTAATTACACAGACCTACTCCCTTGAGTTAGAAGAAAATGTGTTGAATTAGTAGCTCCTTTTATTTACTCTGTCAATTCATACTCCCTAATGGTTGATCGAGAGAGAGAGAGTAGAAATGGAGTCCTTAAGATGAGTCTGATAAATGTGATAGTACTGCATAAAATTACACCCAGGAATTTCATAGGGCCACAGGTTAGGGGATCTTGATTTGGAATTGTATATAATGTTTCAAAATGAGGTATCACATTTTAAAAAATCATAAAAAGAGCACAGTTTTGCCCTGTCCCCCACACAGAGAGCTGAGCGGAGAATCTGTGGATTAAAATACTGATGATACAGAACTGAGTTTCTGCAAACCTGTTATTTTAACAGTTGAGAGTTCTGCTTTAAAACCACCTACAGCAATAGATATTAAGATCCTCAAAACACCTATAAATTTGGCTTAATATCGTAGTTAAATCAGGTAAGTTTTCAGTTGAGGGATAAACCTGGAAGAAAATGTTCAGTAGTTTCAAATATGAATAGCAATATGCATTTACAAGAAGACCCATGGACAAGCACTGCCTTTACAGCATCCCTGAAATAGTATCCAAGTTGCAAAGCTTCAGAAACTTTGAGGAGCATCAAGGGACAGCAATAATATATCTAAAAAATACTCTGTATCATTGATGTTGAGGAAAAATACATTTACCAAGGAGTTCAATCTAATTCCATGGCTGCTGCTCAAGGGGTGCTTTGATATACATGTCATTGACATCAGAATCTGTGATAATGTACTAAATAAAAGAATTTTATTTGTTAAACTTTAAAAACTTGTAGCAATATATCAATGATTGGTTATAATAAATATGAAATTGTGTACATGACACCATTATCTGAGTTATAAGCTGTCACAATTAGCAGGTGCAGTCTGCGAATGTTTAAAGGTTATGCAAATGAAGGGATGTTACCAGTTCAATAGGCTAACTACACAGAAATGCAAACACTAACCTTCTGGCTAAGCTGTTAGTTCAGGGTAGTAGGTGCAGATTCCTCTCTGGGTTTTGAAAATGTAAAATAAATCCTCAAGTTCGATAGACAATAATTTTAGAGGAAACATTTCCTTTCAGTCCTAATTACACCACACTCTTCTCCTGATAAGTGGAAATATATGATAATTATACTCTTCTGATGTAGTTTTGAAACCTTATACACAATTAAGGGAAGGCATTTGAGAAGCTCTCTCACTCATCATC